CAGGAGATGGTGACTAGGACTTGTCTCTGAGGAGAGAGAGTTGGGGGAATGGAGAGGAGGGTGCTGGGAGGGGGTCCAGGGAGACAGGCAGCCAGGTGGCTGGGAGCTCATTACCTTCTACCCCTCAGTCATTTACCTGGACAGCATCCTATGTGACCAGGTCAGCTCCAAGCAGGGGTCACTGTCAGTTGAGGCTTGGGATCAGGACTTTGCCTGATGACTGGTATGACACAGGTCAGCTTGCTGTACCAGCCAGAGAGGTGGCTCTGGCTTTGTCTTCTGCCAGCTGCAGGTTAGTGGAGGGACAAGGGATGAACATAAGGCCTCATGAAAGATAGGGAAGCACTCTATATCACTGAGCTATACCCCAGCTTGGATGTGCCCTTTGACCCTGGAGGCAGCCTGAGAGACTGGTCATGGGTGAGGGGTCCTGGTCAGAGGTTCAGAAGGGAGGCTCAGTTGGTTCCAGGTGTAGAGCCTTCTGGGTTTGGGGCTGGAAGAACTTGTGGCCTGGAGAAGCCCACCCTATTCCTAAATGACTAACACCCCTGCCTCAGATGTCTCCTGCAAGTCTTACGTCTCCAGGCTGCTCTGGCTTGGGCTCCAGGCCTTGAAGGCTGGGAGCTAGTATTCATATCCAGCCCTGCTGTGTGACTTTGGATAAGTGTCCTAACCTTTCTGAACTTTAGGTTCTTATCAATGTAACAGAAACAATTTACTAGAATCAATTCTTTGGGGACCAGCTGAGCTAATTGAGATCAGAGGCTAAGCAATGTGTGGCACAAGGAGACCCCCCCCCCAGATTGCCACTGCACTTGGCACATGGTTTTTTTACTTCTAGAATGATCTATATAGGTCCTGGGCCCCCAGCTCAGCCTGCCTGTTGACAATACTGACTAGCATCTTGCTGAATTGCTGTATCCCAGATTGTGTTCAGAGCTGCTGATCACCCCTATAGCTCCAGAGAGCCAGGGAAGGAGGACATGTAACTGTCTTACTGGACAGTAAGGCCAGTGTGTTAGGAGCTGGTGCATGGAGTGGCCCAAACAAGGGATCTGAAGTGATAATCAGAGTAAGTTTTGAGGGAAGAATAGGAATTTGCCAGGTAGACAAAGGACAGTGGGAAGGACATTCCTGGAAGAGAGAATAGTCTCTGATGGCATTAGATAGCCATCAGAAAGTAGGCAGGGAATGAAGCTCTATGGGAACCAATCAGCCCGGATGGCTAGAGACCATCAGGGGCAGCTGTGGCTGCAGTCCTCACACCCCTGACTGTGGTTCTCCCTGTGCTGGGTGAGCCTGGGCCCACAGCTGGTTCAGGCCTGGGTTCTACCTTGAGGGGCCCCTGCCAAGGCCTGGCCTCTAATTTGGAAGGGAGGTGGGAGTGGGCTAGGGAGTGGAATGGTAAGGAAGGCCTGGGGGAGGTCACCCCAGAGCTGAGCCACAGAGTGCTCTGTTGTCTTTTCTGCTTGTGCACTCTGCACACACTGAGCTGTGACAGCTGCTCCAGGAAGGCTGGAGCAGAACCAGGTGGAGTTGGGACTCACTTCTGTCCCTGGCAGAGTGGGCCCCAGGTCAGCAGAGCTGAGTTTGAGTCCCCGATTGTTCACTTGGCAGCTGCAGCTCTGGAACTTAGTTTCCTCATCTGTAGAGAGGGCGCCAGGCCCAGGTGCAGCTGGGACCCCAGCCATTGGCCCATTACCATTCAGGAAGAGCCAGCACTCACTTGCTCCCCCAGGGCAGGGCAGCCTCCAGCACACAAAGGGCAGCCTGTGCCCTTGTCCCATACATAACCAGCTGAGGACAGGAGTACCTGTTGACCCGAGTTATCAGAAAGATCAAGGAGGGGCTTGGTGCTGGGTGTGAGCTGTGGACATGTGGCAACCACAATTCCTGTCCCCTACCATCAGGCAGGCAGAGATGGTGTGCTCTGAGGGTCCCATGAGCCATTGTCTCATGTTCTTCCCCAAAGGTGGTGCCACACCTACTCACACTATTAATCCTTCTTCACATTTTGTGCCACCTTTCTGATCTGCATTGCATGGGACAGTTTCAAATCTCTGACAGTGTGTTTGGTGCAGGTGACAGCCAGTCACTCAGAAGTGGTCTGTGCTGACCACTTCATTTACATTGGCCCCTGACCTCTCTTTGCCTTACCCCCATTACTTTGTGGTGCTCATCACCACCCACATTGTCAGTACACTGCCAGTCTCCCTTGCTGGAACGGAGGGTTCATGAAAGCAGGTCTTTGTGCTGTGCAGCTGGCCCCCAGAGCCAGGCCTGAGACTAACACACCATAAACACCTAGAAAGGGCTGCAAATACTGCCAGGGAGAGTGGTCTGGGGTTCATGGACCAGGCTGTGGGGGGTGGGTGGGGAGGTAGTAAGCTCCCTGTCCCAGGAGGAGTGCAAGCTGAGTTTGTGTGAGGTGCAAGGCTTTGTGCTATGTGGGTTGTGGGTTGTAGGCAGATTGTAGGCTTCTATGATGGTCAGAGCTGGGCTGCAAGTTGGAGACCCTCCAACTTCTGGTGTACCTCATAGCATGAGTGGGCCAGGGTGTTAAAGGCTGCCCACTTTTCTGCTGAGAGCAGAAGAGGCTTGGAGGCAGAGTAGGGTCCAAGTTTCCTGTTGAATCCTGCTAGAATTAGGGCCTGAGAAAAAGAGGGGAAAGGGGATCCAGGCTGGGGAGGAGGGGTTGTTGGGGCCTCACAGGCTTGGGAAGGCGAAGGATAGGGAGCAACTGGGCCCACTGAGGCTATGCCTCCTCTTTTTCTCTATGATCAGAGCATATGGGAGCCAAAAGTACTTGTGAATGTGCAGGGTGGGGGGCTGAGGGAGAGCCCAGTGCTCAGCGTGCCTGCAGATGGTTCAGAGTTTGGGTGCCATATGCACCTCTGGAGACCTAGTCCCAGGACACTGAGCCCAGTCCTTCACTCAGGTGAGGCAAGAGGCTCTCCCTCAAATTGTGCATCCTAGCAGCCTTTCTTGCTTTACCTTAGTCTGACCCTGTTAATTACTCTTTCAAAACAAAATGAAAAAAATCCCCATCAAATGGTTATGAGACTCAGACTTACCGGACTTTCCAGTTTTAGACCATTCTAGTTGTTGCAGAGTGAGCAACCTTGGTTGAGACCCTGCTGTGTGGTGGGTGCTATACAAACTTGCTCTCCCTGGAGACTTGATGGGTAGAGATGGGACCTGGAGGCTCAAAGAGTGGGAGTGACCTGCTCCAGGACCCACAGCAAGGAGGCACTGAGGAAGAGTAGGCCCTGGCATGCGGTTACTGGTTGATTCTCTGGGAAGAGACTGTGGAGCTGGCTGGGTTTCTACCCCTAGACTTCACCCTGGCTACCAACAGTTGCAGAATCAGGCCTGCAGATCTGGCTCCAGAGAATGGGGTGGGGGTCTGGTCAGGCCACAAGTTTGAGAGGCTGGACAGTACCTTCACAAGCCACCAGGTGCCTGTGATCACCCAGGCCCTCCCCTGGTCCTGCACCTGTGCATGGGTCATGGTCAGTCTGTCCTTCTTCTCTAAAACCCCTCTCCCCAGGCCTGCCACTCTCAGGGAATCAGTGAACAACTGTCCTCCCCCACCCACACTCTTCAATCCAGAGGGACAGAGGACAGGGACTTGACATGGTCCCTGGTGGCTCTGGTACTGCTTGTTCCTGCCACACTCTGGGTTCAGAAATGGGAACAGTAAAAGGACCACACTGGGAGGTTAGCTTTTGGGAAACTCAAGCTTGGACTCCAGCCATGTGTCCTTTTGGTTCCTGATTCTTCCTGTCTTAGTGAAGTCAGAGTCTTTCCTAAGAGCAGTGCTTTGCTTTTGTTTTTTGGGTGCTGGAGTGTGTGAGCACCTTCAGACTGAGTGGAGAGGGAGGTAGAGGTGCCAGAAAAGACTTACGTTGTCCTTGGAACCTCTCACAGGCTGTGAAAGAAGAGCCTGGAGGGGTGGCAGAGGGCCTGTAAGGGAGACAGATGAGTTTTCCAGCTTAGGGTCCTGAAAAGGAAGAGCTATCACCCCCACTCCCCTCCCACCCCTGCACTGGCCTTCCCCAGGCTGCAACAGCATGGAGGCCATCCTGTTGTTGATACTGACAGGCCTTGCTGGTCTACTCAGATACAGAAGCCTGAGCTGCTGGAGGGGCTCTGGTCATTTGTCTGTGAACATCTATCCTTGTCAGTCAGGGAGACAGGCCTAATACTTCCCTGAGCTTGTCACTCCCTCTCTTGGCTTCCTAGGCCCTGACTGCTGGGGGGGCTGTCAGGCCTTGAGGGGGGACAGACATCACTGGCCTTGCCTGTGATGCGAGTCAGGATACACTGTATATGTAATCTGGAGTAGAGCTTTCCCTTGTTCACTCTAGGCAGCAATTTCTCGAGTGACCTAGATCCTGGACCATCAGCACCCTCCGTGGGGTGGGTGGTGGTTCCATCCTGGGGCTGCTCCAGGAACGGAAGGTCCCTGCACCCCCCCGCACTACCACCGGCAGACCTTGGCCTTAATCAAACGCCTGTACCCACACTGTCTTTGTTGCTTCTGCCATTCGATGCCAGGAGATACGATTGTCTTGTTTCCTGGGGGAGTAAACTGAGGCTTAGATTGGTCTAGGCCCGCTCAGGTTAGTCGGTGAGCCAACGACTTAGAACACATAGCTCCAGGGGTTGGAGTATCGACTCCCGGGTCCTCCTTGCCCTGACCCCGCGCCCCGCAGCACTTAGAGGCTGTAACGGAGCTAGCGGGAGCTGGCGGCGGGGTAGTGACCGCCAGTAACCCCAGGGGACGCTGGCGTCCAGCGGGTTAAAGGCGGACGCCCGCGAGTAACCCCAACCCAATTCAGCGCCGCGGGGTGAAACTTGAGTCCGGCGGTCGGGGAGGGGGGGTAGGGCGGGTCCTAGTGTGTCGGCGGCGCGGTCGCTGATTGGCCGCGCGCGCTCACCCCATTCCCGGCCCGCGGCCCGGGGTGGGCGGGACAAGGGGCGCGGCCTGCGGCGAGGAGGGGCGGGGCCGGCAGCGGGGCGGAGCGGACGCCTCTAGGTGTTTTAAGAGCTTTAAAACTTCGCTAAGCGTTGACAGGTGAAGTCGTCACCGGGACGCCGTCTGGGCCAGTCACCTGGACGCCCCGAGGGGGCGGGGGGCGCAGACCGCCGAGTCATGGATTGCACATTCGAAGGTATTTTTTTGGAGGATCCCCGACTCCTTTATTATATTGTCTCAGTCTCCGCTGTGGGTCACCGTGCCAGGTTCTTACATAGGGGGGCGTGGTAGCCCCTTCTTGACCGAACTGTGTGCTGGTTCCCGAGTTGCTGGGGAAGTTGGTGGATCACCCCCAACCTCATTAGTTCCTCCTGAAACCCTAGGGGAGAATTGCTTAGGGATCCGACATCAGCACCCTGGAACTAAGGGGGTTAAGGTGGCTTTCTCCATAGCCTCTGCTTTCCCGTCCGGGTAGGGCCAGTTGTCCTGTCTGCCAGAGAGTCCGACTTATCTGGTGTTCCTACATCTTGTGGGCATCTTGGACCCCTCCCCCTCCCCGCGCCGGCAGAAGGCAGGAGCCCTGGATTGTCCAAGTTGTCAGTTTTTCTTTCTTGGCCTCAGTTTCCGTTTCCCCCCATTTACCAAAGAGGCTTACATGGACAGAAGTGAGAGGTGGGAGATCCTGTAATTAAAAGTACTGTGTGACCTGCATAAACTTGGAGGGTTCCCAAAGGGTTTTTATTTGAGGATCCAGGGAGGCTGAGTCTGCCAGCCTGTTTTGCTCTGTCCATAGCCTTAGGGAAGCCCCCTGCTGCACTTACTTTCCTGCTTGGGCACCTATCAGAAGGCAATGTTGAGACCGCACTCTGCTGGTCAAAGCCTCAGGCAACACTTCCAAAAAGGGTTTAATTCTTCCTTTTGTGCAGATGAGGAACCCGAGGCCCAATGAGAGGAGGTATTGAGCCATCCCTACCTCAAGTAGTGGGCAGCTGGTGGGCAGGGATGAAGCTCAGGCCTGGGAACTTGAGAGCAGTGGGGTCCCCCTGGCTTGTGCTCATGGATCATGTGGAGCTCTTTGACCCAGTAGGTGGCCTACCTGACTGGGTTAGAGGGCCCTGGGCTAAGCCAGCCAGGCTGCTAGTCGCCAGCTGGGGGAGAGGGCCTATGGCCAGGCTGGGGCTGAGACACAGGGATTGTGTCCTGTTCTGTGCAAGGAGAAAGTTGTTAGGACAGACAGCACTTGCTTTTATAGGGAGGAAACCAAAGCCTGAATGGCCAGACCTGGGTTCTCGGGCCACTTTGCTGTCGGCAGAGCTTGGGTTTGTTCCCAGAACACACAGACACACCGGTTGGCTACGTGACCGGCAACTGGCCCAGCCCTAAACTTCTATCTGTTCTGCTGAGGAATGGGCTTTTGTATGCATGGGTTGGAATCCCACTGCATGCTATTGGGCTTTGTGTGGCCCTTCTTGAACTCTGGTATCCTTATTGGCCCTCCATGGTAGGTGAGTGAACCTTCTGGGTATGGGTAGTAACTAGCACTTGGGTCATTGGGGTCAGGTCAGTTTGAACTCACTTCTGTCTCTGTAAGACCTTAGGCCAGTAAGTTTGCAGCTCAGTTTCTTCCACTGTAGAATGGGGCACACATTCTGTACAGTACCTTCTTAGAGCTGTGGCAGGAAGGAAGTTGATGGGCCTAGCTTTGGGCACCTTCCACGTTGGTGGCTCAGACCCACACTGCTGGCATGGCCCCCACCCTTTGATTCCTCCCGTGGGGATGAGGACCCTTCTCTGACTTGGCTTCCTCCTGGAGGTCTTCTCTATCCACTATTCCTCTTAGGGAGTCCTGGGCAGCCCTGGGAGGAGGGGGGCTTGAGTGTAGACATGGAAGACCCTACCACCTTTTCAGGGCCTCAAGGCATCCTGTCTCTCTGCACCTCCCTTCCTCTTGCAAATCGAGGAGGTGATGTCCTCCCCATTCCTCAGCAGTCTCTAAAGTCCTCTAATCCTGTGTCCTGAAGATCTCCCTGAGCAACCTTGAAGGAAGAGCCCATGAGTGGTGGGTAGGTGGGGCGTGAAACCGGTTGCACCTATGTGAAGACCCTCTGTGTCTGTGTACCACCTGCCCTGGGCCTACCTCTTTCCTCTGGCTGCTGTGTTCCATCCCCCTCCCAAGAATTGGACCTGCTGAGTGTGTGAGGCATTTACCCATTTCACAGATTGAGAAACTTGAGGCCCAAGTGGGGCTAGGGCAAGGCTGTCCCTGAGTCTCTGGACTCCTTTTGTCTGAGGTGGGGTGGGTGCTAGAGGGGTTGGTGACAGAGTGTTGAAAGAGCAGGGGAGGCACCTGGAAAGGTTTGTTACCTCCTGCGCATGAGCACTTGGAGCCACTTGGAGTCTATAATGCAGTGTGGATGTGTGTGTGGAGCAGCTTCATTCTGAGGTGGGTGACCCATGAAGACAGGAGTGAAAGTTTTCCACTGTTCACAGGCTGGGGTGCAGTTCAGTGGTAGAACCCTTGCCTAGCATGCTGCAGACCCAGGGTTTGAACTTTAACACCACAAAAAAAAAAAAAAATTCATTACCATTGTCCCCATGAAGATACAGGACAGGAGCTGGGGATGTAGGACAAAAACCCACAAAGACAGAGGGCATTCCTCAGAAAGTTGTTTGGTTCTGGCCTGGGTGGGGATTTTTTTTTTTTTTCCAGAACTGGGGCTTGAACTCAGGGCCTCACACTTGATAGGCAGGCACTCTACCACTTGAGCCACCTCACCAGCCTTATTTTGTATGTTTGGGGATTTTCCAGATAGGGTCTTGTGAACTATTTGCCCAGGCTGGCTTCAAATCACAATCCTCCTGATCTCTGCCTCCTGTGTAGCTAGGATTACAGACATAAGCCATCGGTGCCCAGCTTGAGTGGGATTTTTATTTTACTTTCATTTTTATATTTGGTGAGGGTGGGGTAGAGAACAGAACCTGCTGATTTTGCCCAGGCTGGACTTGAACTCCTGGGCTCAACCTTCCAAGTAGCTGGGACTATAGGCGAGTGTTACTGTGGTTGGCTAAGGCAGGTATTTTTTTGTCTGTCTTGTACATGGTCAGGAACAGTACCTTATCTTGAATGAAAGAATGAGTGAATGAATGAAAGAGCACAGGCCAACTGTGTGCTGTGGCTGAGAATGTCACACAGCAGGCAAACATCAGGCAGTGAGAGAGCTCATGCTTAGAAGCAGGCAGTCTTAGCTGCCTCCAGTGTGAAGGCCCAGGCCTGTAGGTCAGGAGCCTGGTGGTACCTGCCCTGTCTGATGGAGGCCAGGGCTTTCGGATGTCACACGGATATGACATGTGCCCCAGTCATCATGTCACATGTCACAGGTGCCTGAGAAAGGGCTGTGTCTAGGAGCACTGGCTCCTGTGGGTGGCTTTCTGTGGCTGCAGCTTTGCCCACACATGCACAGCTGTGTGTGGACAGGGAGCATGCAAATAAGTGCCACTCAGGGACAGTCCCACTAGCTTCACTGTCACTCACACACCCTTTTCTTTTCCCAGACATGCTTCAGCTCATCAACAACCAAGACAGCGACTTCCCTGGCCTATTTGATCCACCCTATGCAGGGGGCAGGGTAGGGGGCACAGACCCAGGCAGCCCTGGTGCCAGTTCCCCGGGCAGCTTGTCCCCACCTCCTGCCTCTCTGAGCTCCCCTCTAGAAGCCTTGCTAGGGGGACCTAAGGTGGCACCCCCACCCTTGATCCCTCCCCAGTCTGCCACCCCATTGAAGATGTACCAATCTGTGCCCCCCTTCTCCCCTGGGCCTGGTGTCAAAGAAGAGCCTGTGCCATTAACCATCCTGCAACCCTCTGCTCCACAGCCCCTGCCAGGGGCCCTCCTGTCCCAGAGCTTCCCAGCCCCAGCCCCAGCCCCAGCCCCAGCCCCAGCCCCTGCCCCTGCCTCTGCCCCTACCCCGCCACAGTTCAGTTCTACTCCCGTGTTGGGCTACTCTAGCCCTCCTGGAGGCTTTTCCACAGGTAAGGGGGGAGTGTGGTGGGAGGGGATGGTGGGAAGGGGGCTGCTAAGGACACAGAAAGATCATCTGCTTAAGTCTTAGTGGAGGAATTGGCAGCTTTAGGAGCTGGGTCTTCACTCTGCAGCCTGAGATGCCCCATGGCTGGCAGTGCTGGCCTGCAGTACTCCTGTTCTTCGTGCTGGGTTGAGCAAGGCCCCCACCCTGGCCCAGCTGGAAGCTGGCACATTTGCTTCAGAGCCCAGGCAGGGAAACCATGGGAATAATGACTCATCCAGGCCCATAACGACAGATACCTGCAGGGCAGGCTGAATGTGGGTGAGGGCAGCCTGGACCTGCAGTCCTGCTTCTTTGCAGGGACCCCTTCTGGGAGTGCCCAGCAGACACTGCCTGGCCTGCCACTGGCTTCCTTGCCAGGGGTCCCGCCCGTCTCCTTGCACACCCAGATCCAGAGTGTGGGTCCTCAGCAACTGCTGACAGCCACAGCAGCAGCTGGAACGACCACTGTGACCTCACAGATCCAGCAGGTCCCGGTGAGTGGGTGCTGGTGTGGCTGGGTGTCAGGAGGCAGCAGCCTTTGCCTGGACATAGCTCATAGCCAAGCCATCTCCCATACCCCCAGGTCCTGCTGCAGCCCCACTTCATCAAGGCAGACTCACTGCTGCTGACAACCATGAAGACAGATGTAGGGGCTGTGAAGGCAGCGGGCATCAGCACCCTGGCTCCTGGCACAGCTGTGCAGGCAGGACCCTTGCAGGTGGGTGGCGTGGGAGGGCAGAGGGTGTGGGGCTGGACCTGAGCACACCCACCTGGTGACATGTGTCTGACCCTACAGACCCTGGTGAGTGGTGGAACCATCCTGGCCACAGTGCCGCTGGTCATGGATGCTGATAAGCTGCCCATCAACCGGCTGGCAGCTGGCAAGGCTGCGGGCTTAGCCCAGAGCCGAGGGGAGAAGCGCACAGCCCACAACGCCATCGAGAAACGCTATCGCTCCTCCATCAATGACAAGATTGTGGAGCTCAAGGACCTGGTGGTGGGCACTGAGGCGAAGGTACGGATATAGGCCTGCGGGGATGCACTGTGGTAACCCTGGAAGGAGAAAGATGAGATAGCAGGATGGAGCTGAGCCTGGATAGACAGGAGTCAGGCTGCAGCCTAAATGGGCCCAGTAGCCCCACTTTTTTGGCTAAACTTTTAGGGGAGGATCTCAGTAAAGGAACTGACATTGCAGTGGGGGAGATGGACATTTGGCAGTATGAAGAAATCAGTGTTCAAGTGGTCCATGTGGTGCTGGGGAGGAAGACAGCGCAGGAGAGGGGTAGTGAGAGTTGCAGATCTAAGTTGGGTGGTCAGGGAAGGCCTCGCTATGGTGAGATACAGGTAAAGACCTGAAGGAAGTGAGAGAGTGGGGTATGAAGATGGTAATCAAAAAACAGTGACTATCCAGACACTTGTATGCAGTTCCCATGTTAATCCTTATTCTTCCCTGGGACGTAGTACTATTAGGGGATATTAGCAGAGGAATATTATGGGAAGAAGGAACAGTAAGTGCAAAGGTCCTGAAGCAGCTGCACTGCACAGCACCTCTTTTCATTCCTACTAGGCGCCTGTAGTCAGGCCTGACTGACCAGCTGGCCTCTCTTTCTCTCTGTACAGCTGAATAAATCTGCTGTCTTGCGCAAGGCCATCGACTACATCCGCTTCTTACAACACAGCAACCAGAAACTCAAGCAGGAGAATCTGAATCTTCGAACTGCTGCCCACAAAAGCAGTGAGTCCACGCCTCCCTCTCCCCCTGCCTCTGGCTTCTCTTCTATCACTGCTGTCCCTAGCTCTGGCTCTATCCCTTTGATCAGCTCTGGCCATCCACTGGTCTTAGCCATAATACACCTTGCCCCAGCTTCCAGGGCCTCAGAGGCAAGGCCATCTCCCAGTCAAGGCCCTAGGCCTGGGGTGAGGTGTTCAGCCTTGACCCCACCCTGTTCCTTTACTTGCAGAGTCGCTGAAAGACCTGGTGTCCAGCTGTGGCAGTGGAGGAAGTGCAGATGTGCCCACAGAGAGTGTGAAGCCTGAGGTGGTAGACACGCTGACCCCACCACCCTCAGATGCTGGCTCGCCCTCCCAGAGTAGCCCCTTGTCCTTTGGCAGCAGGGGTAGTGGCAGTGGTGGCAGTGGCAGTGACTCCGAGCCTGACAGCCCAGTCTTCGAGGACAGCCAGGTTGGGCCTTGCTGCATTACCCCTTTGGGGATGTCCTCTGAGTCTTAGGACTGGGTCAGGAATTGGCTTCCTAGGGACCCTTCCTCCTATTTCCTAGAGAGAAGCTGAGGCCTGAGCCCACACCTTCTGAGCTGGCTTGCCCCACCCTCACCACTCTGTTTCCCACCAGATAAAGCCCGAGCAGCTGCCATCACCCCACAGCCGGGGCATGCTGGACCGCTCCCGCCTGGCCCTGTGTGTGCTGGTTTTCCTCTGTCTGTCTTGCAACCCCTTGGCCTCCCTTCTAGGCAGCTCCTCCAATGCCGCCGATGTCCACCATGGTCCTGGGCGCAGTGTGTTGGGGGCCGAGGGCACAGGTGAGTCATGCCAGCCTGGGCATCCTTGGGAGGGTCTCAGTGTGGATCCTGACTGTGGATGTGGAGCTTTGTATTTCCCGGGATCTGTGTCCTCAGCCCTTCCCTCTGCTCACAGATGGCCCCAGCTGGGTACCGTGGCTGCTGCCCCTCCTGGTCTGGCTAGCCAATGGGCTTCTGGTGCTGGTCTCCTTGGCACTTCTCTTCATCTATGGGGAGCCAGTCACACGGCCTCACTCAGGCCCGGCTGTGCACTTCTGGAGACATCGCAAGCAGGCTGATCTGGACCTGGCCCGGGTAAAGGACTCACCCTAGGAGAATGGATGGGCCGGGGCAGCAGCAGGGCCCCAGGATGGACAGGTGCCAGGCATTCCCCTTTCTCCCCAGGTCTGCCCCCATGCTCCCCTTTTGTCCACCTCAGAACCCTCTGATCCTCAGGCACCAGACAGAGGGGAGACCTTCTAATGCCATATTCTTACTGGGAAACCTTCATCCCTAGGGGGACTTTGCGCAGGCTGCCCAGCAGTTGTGGCTTGCCCTACGGGCACTAGGCCGACCCCTGCCCACCTCCAACCTGGACCTGGCCTGCAGCCTGCTCTGGAACCTCATTCGCCACCTGCTGCAGCGCCTCTGGGTGGGCCGCTGGCTGGCAGGCCAGGCTGGGCGCCTGCAGAGGGACTGTGCTCTGAGGGCAGATGTGCGCGCCAGTGCCCGAGATGCGGCCCTTGTCTACCATAAGTTGCACCAGCTGCACGCCATGGGTAAGACCGGGTGGGAGCTGGGCCTGAGGACTCCCTGCCATTTCCTGTCACCTCCTGGGCTCACACCCCACCTGCTTTCCAGGGAAGTACACGGGTGGGCACCTCATTGCCACTAACCTTGCACTGAGTGCCCTGAACCTGGCGGAGTGTGCAGGGGATGCTGTGTCCATGGCAACGCTGGCAGAGATCTATGTGGCTGCCGCCCTGAGGGTCAAGACCAGTCTCCCGAGGCCCTTGCACTTCCTAACAGTGAGTGGGAGGTAGACTGATGGGGCTGGGGCTAGGGCTGTCTTTGAGCTCTCAGGTTGGCTCCTGGTCGAAGAGCTGCACAAGATGTGGCAGCCGGTTTACCAGGTGGGCTCCAGGCCCAGCTATGGTCTCAACTAGGGTCTGGGTTTGAGCCCCTGCCCAAGGCCAGTGTGACAGCCCAGCTCCCCTCCCCCACAGCGCTTCTTCCTGAGTAGTGCCCGCCAGGCCTGCCTGGCGCAGAGTGGCTCAGTGCCTCTTGCCATGCAGTGGCTCTGCCATCCTGTGGGCCACCGTTTCTTCGTGGATGGGGACTGGGCCGTGCGCAGTGTCCCGCGGGAGAGCCTGTACAGCTTGGCCGGGAACCCAGGTGCTCTTTACCCCCATATCTCTCCTCTGTCCTGTGCCTTGTCCTCCATTCACATCCCTCATTGTTCCCTGCATCTCTGGACATTTCCACTGACTCCAGGTCACCTCCCTGCTATGGGCTGTGGTGTGGGAACCGCAGGATCTCTCACTGAGCCTCTTTAGAGCAGCATAGGGATCAGAGGCAGCGAGATGACTGGGGAGGTAGCCCCACCATTATGGAGATAGGAAAGGGTGGAGCCCAGGCAGGCCTGAGGTCAAGTGGATTGCCTTTTGGAGCCAGCATAGAGCACACTCCCTCTCTGCTCAGTGTTGTCCTCCCCAAGGGCAGAGGCTGGACCTTCCACCTGTCTGGAGCTGCTGTTTCCAGGGCCAAGCTGCCACCTTGGACCAGCCTTCAGTGTGGACCCAGCACTCCAGGAGGAAGGCCTTGGTGTGGGGAGTTGATTGTGGAGAGGAGGGTAGGCCCTGCCCTCACCCCACTCATGTCCCCTGCCTACAGTGGACCCTCTTGCTCGGGTGACTCAGCTGTTCCGAGAGCATCTTCTGGAGCGAGCACTGAACTGTGTGGCCCAGCCCAGACCAAGCCCCAGCCCTGTGGCAGCTGATGGGGACAGGTAAGTGTCCCTGTGCTCCCCTCCAGGTAAGATCTTCCAATGTGGAGTTTACGAGTGGCCGTGTTCAGGGGCCTCTGTGGGTGGCCCGAGTGTGGACTGTGGTCCACTCACTGCATGTCCTCAGGGCCTCTGTCTAGTCAAGCAGGAGGTAACGGTGGCCCTTTGCAGAGCCATGGGGTCAGGCTGTGCTCTGTGGGCAGGCGGGGAGGACCAGCATTCCCCAGGACTCCCAGGACCCCTGCTGTCTGCCCTCACAGCCAGCTGTCTCCCACCCCAGGGAATTCTCAGACGCCCTTGGGTACCTGCAGCTGCTGAACAGCTGTTCCGATGCGGCTGGAGCTCCCGCCTGCAGCTTCTCCATCAGCTCCAGCATGGCCGCCACCACTGGTGAGCCCCAAGACCCCTGCCCTGAAGCCCTCGAAGTCCTCAGTGTAGTGTTGCTGAGGGTCAGGATGCCCCTCCCTCCTCTGCAGGCACGGACCCTGTGGCCAAGTGGTGGGCCTCACTGACAGCCGTGGTGATCCACTGGCTACAGCGGGATGAAGAGGCGGCCGAGCGACTATACCCACTGGTGGAGCACCTGCCCCGAGCCCTGCAGGAGACTGAGTAAGTGCACAACCAGATCTCCCCTGTCCCAGCTCTAGGCCACTTCTCCCAGCCCCTTAGCCCTGTGCTTGCACCAGCCTGTGCTTTGGGTGGAAAGGGTTACCATGCTCTTCCCTAAGAATCCAGAACCAGGGCAGGGAGCTCAGAGAGGGACCATGGCCTGGTCTGACCCACACTCTGCCCTGGGCCCAACAGGAGACCCCTGCCTAGGGCTGCTCTGCACTCCTTCAAGGCTGCCCGGACCCTGCTGGGCCGAGGAAAGGCAGAGTCTGGTCCGGCCAGCTTGGCCATCTGTGAAAAGGCCAGTGGGTACCTGCGAGACAGCCTGGCCACCACACCAACTGGCAGCTCTATTGACAAGGTGAGGGGTGAGGTAGGGGCCTGGCTGGGCCAGGGTCACAGTTCTCTGCTTCCTGGTCATTTGGAGTCAGCCCAAGTAGCCCAGGACTGTGGGGGTCCAACTGACCTTCCTTTTGCTAAGGCTTAAGTCCAGGGGAGAGTGGCTGCCCTTTCTGGCCTCAGTTTCCCCAGCACAAGGAGGAGGGGTGTGGTGAGGCGTGCTTGGGGGCCTGGCTGCTTATGGGCAGGCAAGTGGCAGGCAGGCATGGGGGCCTGGAGAGGTGGGCGGCCCCGCGGTGCATTGCTGTTGCATTGCATGTGTGTGAGGCGGGTGCAGTGCCTCGGCAGTGCAGCCCGGAGTCAGCCCCTGGCACCACGGGCCCCTGCTCCGTCCCTCCTGGAGCTGAGCCCCCCCATGACCCTTACCCTGCCTGCTACCCCAGGCCATGCAACTGCTCCTGTGTGATCTGCTCCTTGTGGTACGCACTAGCCTGTGGCGGCAGCAGCAGCCACCAGCCTCAGCCCAGGTGGCCCAGGGTGCCGTCAGTGGGCCCCAGGCCTCTGCACTGGAGCTGCGTGGCTTCCAGCGGGACCTGAGCAGCCTGAGGCGTCTGGCACAGAGCTTTCGGCCTGCCATGCGGAGGGTGAGTGCCCACTGACCTGCTACATCACTGTGAGGGGACACAGAACGGCAGGTGTGAGGAGAGTGGGGGCTGGGCCTGAACCTGGCCTCTTCTGGCCCTACCCACCCAGGTGTTCCTACATGAGGCCACTGCTCGGCTGATGGCAGGGGCCAGCCCAGCGAGGACACACCAACTCTTGGACCGTAGTCTGAGAAGGCGGGCAGGCCCTGGTGGCAAAGGTGAGGCAAATGTTGATAACTATACAGGTGGAAGGTGGGGAGGGGGGCTGGCTCAGCTGCAGCCATTTTTTACCACCTCCTGCACACCCAGGTGGGAAAGGCCCAGCGGGTGGACACGGAGGGTGACTACACCCGTGTGTGACAGATTTAGGGATTTGGTGGCCTTATGGTGGTATCTGATGAGAAATCAATTGGGGGTGACTATGGGATATGACTGCCTGCACACCTGATTGAGAAGGGAACTGAGGTTCCATGTGTGTGCATGAAACTGTGGGAAAGGAGAACCTATGGCACTCACATGCCCAGCAGGTCCACTCACTGGGAGGTCAGCTACCTCCTCTCGCACGCAGGGGCAGGGCCTGGTTGGGGCCCCCTCCTGGTGTGTGGCCAGGCCTGAGTCTTATCTCTGATACAACCCTTGTGTGCACAGGCTCAGCTGCAGAGCTGGAGCCTAGGCCTACGTGGAGGGAGTACACTGAGGCGTTGCTGCTGGCTTCCTGCTACCTACCGCCTGGCTTCCTGTCGGTGCCTGGGCAGCGCGTGGGCATGCTGGCCGAGGCGGCGCGAACGCTTGAGAAGCTCGGCGATCACCGGCTGCTGCATGACTGCCAGCAGATGCTCCTGCGCCTGGGAGGTGGGACTACCGTCACGAACAGCTAGACTCCACGCGGCGGCCTAGTTCACAGTGTCCTGGGCTCTACCGTCACGAACAGCTAGACTCCACGCGGCGGCCTAGTTCACAGTGTCCTGGGCTCTACAGTTCACTCACAGCTGAACTCTCCTTGGAGGGTGGAAGGCCCCTGAGGGCCTTCTCTTGCGCTGAGAGAATGGAGGGGCGCGATTCCACCGCCAGCCAGCTCACCAACCTGACGAGCCGCAGCCAGGCTAGTACTGGCCTCTGGTGGTCAATGGGGAAAATGCAGGGGCCGAGCCGCCAGCCTGCGTGCTCCAGCTCTGCAGGCACCTTAACGGCTTCTGCTCCCTGCTCCCCCCAACCAACGCCCGCCAGGCCGCCTGTCTAGAGAGGAGAGGGGTACCTTTTGCGGAGCTGAGGGGGGCCCTGTCTTCTCTCCTTTCTGGGGAGACTTGTACATAGTATAGATGTGGGTGAGCCAGCCTCCTGGCCTCAGAGGCTCATTTGCCTTTTGCAAACTATTTTCCTAGGTTGATGATAAGTTTTGTACAGAATAAAGAATGAGATTATTTATAACCTGAGCTTTGTTCCTTTGGTAGTAGAGTGTGTGCTTCAGCTGGGGGACATGCTCACCAGAGTCCTTTTTTCCCCAGCACCTAGGCAGGGTATCCTGGCCCCACCTAGGGTCAATCTGCCCCTTTCCATGTTAGCAGACCTGTTCCACTCATCTGGGCCACATCAACCCTTCCAGCATTGATGGTCTCAGCTCCCTCTTACTTTCTACCAAGTCCCAGGGTGCCATGGGAGGACATTGTCCTCAGGGGCCTATTGTGACAACCTAGGTCTCCCAGTATGTCTGGAGTGTCTCACCTCCCCAATCTCCTGTCCCCTGGTATTGCCTCCTTGTACCACAGTCAGGACCTGAGGCCACATGGGCAGGTGAGGACATAGGATAGGCATCAGGAGTCTTCTGTTGAAACAGTAAGGCAGAAAAACCACTGTGCCCCCCCCTTCTCATCCCCCAGCTAAAGCCTGGTCCCAGCTCCCAGGGGAATCTGGTCAGAATCCACCCGCACATTTCCAAAACAATCGTTGTATCTTTATTGACTTTTTTTTTCTGAATGCAATGACTGTTTTTTTTTTTTTTAACTCTTAAGGAAAATAAACATCTTTTAGAAACAGCTCGATACACACAATCTTCAGTGTGAAGCAATATACTAATAAGAACACTAGTCGTCTTAACATTTACAGTCTTCATATATATTATATATATGTATATGTATACATATATATACACTATATAACGAGGCCAGATATAATACACACGTTTACCATTTTACAGTCATATGTACAGGAAGTTGCTAGGGCCGCCCCAGGCAAGGGGCTGCGTCAGGCCTATCAAAGCGTGGACAGAGCTGAGGACACGGACAGACAGGCGGACAGACTGGTGAGGATTGGCCCAGGCCGGTGGTGCTGCATGGGGAAGGGGCATCGCGGGAGCCTCCATCCTCAACAGGGGCCGGGTTGGGGCTCTGTGCTGCGGGGCGCACGACGCACAGCGGCGACACACGGGAAAAGCGAGCATGTTCCCAACATATATACATTCTATGTAACATATATATAGAGGGGTACACAGGTTTTGTACACGAATCTAGCGCTGTTCCTGCTCCCGTGCAGAGTGGGCGCTGGTGCATTAGGATGACGGCGCATCCGCCGGAGGTGCACTGGGTCGGGGTCTCCTTTCTTATTGCGCTCCCGGGCTGGGATCCAGGGATGGGGTGGAACTGGAAAGGGGACGACCAGAAGCCAAAGGGTGCCCCACAGTCCCGCCCACACCGGGGAGCCCGCATCCCCTGAGCATAGGCCCACGACTACCCCGGCTTTGCCTGACCCGCACAAAAGCTTTGGCAAAGGCAAATAGTCACGTTCGAAGAGCTTTTCCCAAAGCCTCTGGCCCCCCTTCCCCGTCAGCCCTCTCCAGAAGGCTTCGGTTTCCCCCGCCTGGTCCACGGAGCCAGGAGCCGCCCTCCTTCAAGGCCGTCTGGTCCCCACCCCTAACCTCAGGCACATGCCACGACCGACCAGGGTGGCTGTAACACCCATGAGGAATGTGTGCCACGTCGTCTCGAAACTTCCGGGGAGGGCTAAAGCTGTCTCCCACCCGCCAGAGGTTGGGTGCCCCGAGGAGTCTGGCCACTCCGCGGTCTCCCCTCTCCAAGTCTGGCCCCAGGGGTATGGGCAGGCGCACCCCGTGCCGTCTGGTTCCGGGAGCAGGCGACTCCAGAACAGGTTTTCTTCCCAACCCAGGGCCGCAAGTCTGAGCCCTAGGAGGCCAGATCCAAGATCCGGAAATCGGATCAAGGATCGGCTCTGGGTCCGCGCCGGGAGCAGCTCAAAAGCCCTGGGCTACGCAGGCGGCTCCTCTCTTTCGGCGGCGGCGGCGGCGGCGGCGGCGGCGGGCGGGGGGCGGGCGGGCGGGCAGGTGGGCTCCGGTGGCTCCTCCGGTCGTTGTTGTGGATTACAACGGCAGCCTCTGCAGAAGAAGAGGGAACGTCCACACCCCATTACTGTGGTTCGCCAACAAGTGCTGGGGTTAGTTCCTCCCCGGACCCACCGCGACCCCGCCCACACAGGCTCCGCCCCCTGCCGGGTGGGCTCAGCTGGGGCCTCGTTGTGCTGACCGTGTCACGCCCCAGTTCAGGCTTTTCTTCCAACCACACTCAGTCAGCTTTCACCTGTGTGTTCTCTGGCTCGGTCCCTTGGCGGGCTCCTCCCTCAAGACCTGCCCCATTGACAAAGCCTTCGTTCCCACCTGCATGTACCTGCCTGCCCCAGGCCTCCTGATTACGGCTGCAGAGTGGGTAAGCCTGGGCTGGGAGGGCTGGGGCTCCGCACGTCAGGGGAGGGCCTTGTAAAGGAGGCGAAGAAGTGGGGCTCCTTCCGCCTGGGGACACTTACCTTATGTTTGGGACACTTCAAAGAAAAGTTCTCTTCGATGAATATGCAACCTGTGACCAAAGAGAAGTTCCAGTGGTTAGATGTGGGGTGAGCTAGCTGGTGTTTCAGCAGGTGGGAAGGGAGCTGAGGGGAGCTGTCCAGAGTGGCCTCCACTATCTAAACTCCATCTTAGGGACCCATGCAAAGTGATGTGGCCTTTGCCCCACCCGCTGGTCTTTACCCTCACCTCACCTCCACCTGGAACTCCCTGCCTATTTCCACATGGCCAGCTCCTTGCACCAGGGAGATTTTCCCTGACTCCATAAGGCAGATTCCCCCTCCTCCTCCGCCAGGCTCTTCCCCTTCCTCTGCCTTATTTCCCACGGCCTCTTTTGTTACCACCTCCTTTCACAATGGGCTGGTCTACATATGGCTTACTTGCTCCTGGTCTCCCTCCCCCAGAGAAAGGCTCTCTGAGGTATGTGGGCCAGCCACAGGAAGAGTCCGACACCCAGGGGGTGCTCAGTGTTTGTGTGGTGGTGACTTGGGAGTGGAATCTTGGTCTCTACATCTGCAGAATGGGCATTAGGTCACCTGCTGCACGGCTGTGGCAGGTCCTCCCCCTATGTGCACTGCACACAGCAGGTGCTGGGGGTGGAAGGGCTTATTCCTATGGGGACAAGGGGAGGAGAACACAAGGTCTCAGATCCCAGAGACTCCCAGGTGTCCAGAGCACTGCCTACCTGGGAGAGGCAGAGGATGGCAGAGTAGGGTCAGTCTTTACGCCCACCTGACCAGGGGGTGCGATGGTGCAAGGCATTGCTCCAGGCCTATCACCATCTCGGGAGACCTGGCTTTCTCCTGGGTGCCACATCCCTCCACCCTAGGTCTCTTTGGGCTCATTTCCCCTCCCTCCCCTCTCACTGGCCAGGGGCTGCCTCCCCCAGAGCCTTCTTCCAGCTCACATTAGGGATGGTATCAGGGCAGAAGGGGGTGAATGTCCACCCTCTAGCAGGGTGTCCAGCTGCAGGGCTGTAGGCCTCTCTGCCATGGTCTCCCCTTCTCTCCACACATCCCCGCTAGAAAGTGGGGGTGTCCATGATCTGAAAACTGCCCATGATGTTGTCTTTTAGGGCCAGTGGCTGGAGGCGGCTGTCAGCTGTCAGGCATGCCACACACAGCTCTGGGACTGGGCTAGATTCCCACAGAGTACTGAGCTGAGCCCAAGCCCACCCACTGCATGCACAGTGGGCCCCTGGCTCGGAAGCAGGTGCTTGGGCCAAGGGCTTGGGTCACTGGAAACTGAGCATAGGGGATCACCACTTCCAAATCAGCTTGCCCACGAATCACCCAACAGTCGCTTTGGGGCAGTCGCTGGGGAGGGTCAGGCCTCAGTGTCCCCTCCTGCCCTGGTGTCTTGGGCCTAATGAAATGACCCTGGGTTGAGTGTGGAGGGCTCTGACAAGACACCAAGGTGTGGCAGCCTTTGCTCTTGGGAGTCACTGCTGGCCTCAAAGTGGGGTTCATTAGTAAGAACTGGAAGGGTGTAGGGCTGGTGGACCAGGACAACAGCACAGGGTGGAAAGTAGCAGTTTGCTCAAGACTGAAGACTGTTCCCTTTATTCCTCCTTTCCCAGCACCGTCCCCCGCCCCGTTCCCCCACCAAGCTGGCCAGTGGCCTGTGCCAGCCTTCCCTGCTTCTGATGCCCTGTCCTCATCTGCTCTGGCTGCTGTGCCTCAGTTTCCCAGGGCTCCCTCCATCCTCTGGCAGCTGCTCAATGTCCCCTTCAGGACCCTGACAAGCCTCCACCTGCTGACCGCCAGTGTGTCTCTACACTGATCCGAGCTGGGACAGCTCCCTGCGTCTACAGATGCCTCAAGTAGACCAGCAGCTGTGTGTGGCAGGTGGGTCACCCCATCTATACCCACATCCTTTGTAGCACGACTCTGCAGCTCATCCCATGGGGAGATGGCATGCACCCTGTGAACCTGGGCTGTACTTGAGACTTGCTTTGGCCAATAGGATTGGTAGCGTCTGTAGCCCTGGCTGTGAGAGACCCTGCTACTGCCACAGTGATGTGCCAGGCCAGCTGGAGGAGGCGACCATGCAGAGCAGACAGGCTGGCTTGCCCACAGAGTATGCCAGTCAGCCTGTGCCCTTGTGAGAATTAAGGAAGCATTGCTATTTAAGCCAGTAAATAGAAGGGACCACAGCTCAGCAGCAGAAGTTAACCCCGTCTATTTTCTTGTGCCAGCTCTGCTCCAAACAGCTCCTCCCCCAACATGGGGAAGCTGAATGTCAGGCTTAACACCCCCACCTCTTGCAAACCGCCCCCCCCTCCCCCCCGCTTACATCAAGTCCTGTGGACTCTGTGCCAACATAGCCTCTGGGATATATGACTTTACCTACACCAAGCAACCATCCTCCCCTGCTCAGACTAGTGTATTAGTTCATCAGCCTTGATCATGTCTTCCCAGCCCCCTTCTTGCCTCAGCTCCCGTGGCTCTGCAGATTCTTGTTATGTGGCTCAAAGTCAGGGATAGGTGTCCCACTACTTGGCAGCTATGGTCTGCCTCCCCTGATCTTTTGAGGCCTGGCTCAAAATGTCCCTATGCTTGGACTCCCTCCCAGCTCAGACAGGATAAACCTGTCCCAGTGTACACTCTCTCTTCCTCACCTAGTCTTCATTACTGTAGGCAGAACCAGGCTCTCCTGTGTGCCCACTCCAAAGGGGGCCTAGGGATGGTAGATAGTTCCTGGGTAGGAAAAAGGCCACAGGATGTGGAGGGAGAAAGCCCAGCTTTGTGCCTTGCCTCTCCGGGGCTGTGCTGTGGGGCCAGGTAAGATGGCTCATCAATAAAGATGTAGGAGACACGGTGTTGCTGCAGGCCTGGCCTATAGCGAGCACTACACTCATCATAGCAACTGGGGACTGAGGCCACGAGTCTAGAGTAGTGGCTGAGTCCACGTCCAAATCTGGTTTCCACTGCGCAGTATGGGAAGTGGAGTGGGTAAGAACCCCCACTTGGCCTGGTTCTTGTCATCCTCGTGCTGGCAGCTCAACCCCCCAAGAGATTATCCCCAGTTGAAGCCCTGTGTGTGCTCCAGGGGTGCCCTGGCTGGGACTGATGCTGGCTTGGGACGCAGCAAGCAGGTGGGGGGCAATGCAGCCTCTCTGCCCAAGTTAAGAGGAGGGCAGTTAGAGTGTGACAGGAACCTTGGGGCCTGGACTCTGTCTACTACGAGGCAGGGTGAAGGTGATTTTACCCTGTTCCAGACCAGAGCTGCAAGGAACACAGGGTGATAGGTGCTGAACTGTACTTCCTGGTCAGAGTTCGTTATTCCACTCTGCTTTGGACAGCTCCAGAAAGGAGGTGATTACAGATCTGATGGCTGCCATGACCAAGACCACACAGGAAGAAAGGCCACCAGTGCTGAATCTAGGCCAGTGGTGATCTAACACCCCGGAAATATTGCTGTCAGGAGTGACTAATGTTACACTGTAAGCAATTGTTTTCTTGAGATGAAATAAAGAATCTCTCTGAGCCTCAGTTTTCCCACCTGGTTGATAAGGGTCGGTGTTTCTGGATTTCTGTGGCCCATGGAACCTAGGCTTGTCTCCTGCCTCTAGGCCTTGCTGAAATCCTTCCACAACAGTTCCCTGTGGCCATCAGGTTATTTGATCTCAATTTGTTTTTATCTTCATCTCCCCCAACTTTTTTTTCTTTTCCAATACTGGAGATGGAACCCAGGTTATTGTATTATAACCTTTCCCTTTTCTCTGTGCATTGAACATCCTTCAAAGGTCCAGCCCCAACCATTTTCTTTTAAGACTTTCTTTACTTCCTGGCAAAGACAGTTTCTCATAACTTTCCATATTAGCATTTATGCCTCTGCCTCCCTTCACTGCTGTGGGTAGTCCTCAGTCAGATGGGTGGAACTAACTCATTTCCATATCCCTGGCTTTGCCCAGCCCAGGTCTATGCAGAGAGAGAGATAAGGAGATAAAGAATGATGCTAGAGCAAAAGATGAGGGACCCCAGGGTCACGCGAGGCCTGGCTCGAAGGAGCTGTGCCTAGATCCCCCTGCACTGCTCAGATGGGCCTCCAGCCTTTCTGCCCCCACGGCTGTCGCTTACCCGCATCGCTGGCGCACGGGTAGTGGTAGGTGTGAACGCATCCTTTGTAGGAGCACCCAATGGTGGCCCCGGCTTCTTGGCAGCTGGAACATGTCTGATGAAGAGAGAGGGAAGGCAGGTGAGTCCTCCAGCTTTCCAGAGACCCCAGTGACCCTGCTTCCTGCCAGCCACCCACCGCCTTTTTGTTTATATTCTGGTTTTGAGATAGGGTCTCACTACACAGCCCCAACTGGCCTTGAACTCTCCATTATTCCGTGCTCATGCTTCTGCCTCTCAAGTAGCTGGGATTACAGCCATGCACCACCATGCCTGGCTTCTTCTGGCAGTACTGGGGTTTGAACTCAGGGCCTCACACTGACTAGAGGCAGGCACTCTACCACCTAAGCCATGCCCCTAACCCCATTGGCCCTTTCTAACAGCCCTGGGTGGGGGGTGGGGTGACTTTCACTGATCCCACTCTTCAGATGGTGGGGGCGTGGGCCAGAAGCATTCTCTTCATCCCCGTAGCAGGGGCAGGAGGATGGAATGGAAAACCAACCATTTAGTTGCAGTGAGACAGTCACCTCCCTGGGACAGAGAGCTCAGATCCAGAGGAGGAAGTGACACAGGATCCCCAAGATGCTGATTTCATGTGAACTGCATGCTGCCTGGCGTGTGCCCCACCCCTCACAGGTCTCAGTACTCTCGGAGGGAGACATGGAAGAGCAACGCAAGAAGATCCTTGGAAGAGTGAAGCCTGTCCTGAGGCCTACAAAGGGTCAGTGACAGGTGCAAGGCCACATGTGCTCCTGAACCACAGCTATTCTGGTGGGGGCCAAGAGCCAGAGGGAAGTGAGTTGCAGAACAGGCCAAGCATCACAAGTGACATTAACTCTGTCATGGCCAGGCGTGGCTTGTATCATGGTTATTTTACTTTAGTACCACTTAATTTGAGCTCAGGGCCTTGCACTTGCTAGGCAGGTGCTCTACCATTTGGGCCACACCCCCAGCCTTTTCTTGCTTTAGTTATTTTTCAGGGAAGGTCTCTAGTTTTGCCTGGGACCACCCTTGGACTGTGATCCTCCTATCTACACCTCCTGTGTATCCGAGAACACCAGCAAGCACCACCACACCAGCTTGTCAATTGAGATGAAGTCTCAGCTAAGTTTTTGCCTGGGCTGGCCTCAAACCACAATCTCCACTTCCCAAGTAGCTGGATCACAGGCATGAGTCGCTGCACCTGGCCTGGTATCATGGTTATTTACCTAGGTCAACGTCGAGGGCAGAGGCTGAGAAGCCTTCCGAGGGCCCACTGCTTCAGGATGGGCCCCAACACACAGCCCGACAGGTCCATTCTTGCTATTACATGCCATCTGCCCTGGACAGGTGGCAGTTTTGGCTGTTTGGGTCTAAGGCCTCTTTGTCTGGTGTGGGACGGCCTCTTGAGGATCTAGAGCCGAACATCCTCCAATTGTTGACCCAACAAGGGGAGATGAAGCACAAGTGAGGGCCCCAGACCAGGCCGTCTCATCCACAGTGGGGTATTGTCACTTTGGAGGTAATTACAGGACTGCCCCGGCTGACAGCTCCTCCCACCCCTTACTGCTCTAGGGCCCCAACGCCATTGAGGTGGGCATCTGAATGGCCATCTTAGACCTGAGCAAACAGGTACAGAGGGGTGAGGTCTCCAGTGCTTCTGGCCTAGCTACCCTGACATGTGTGGCCTAGGAACTCTGCCCTGCCAGCCCTGGTGCCCACACCAGGCCAGGCCTCATCTGGACAGAAGATGGGATGCACGATGGTATGAGGAAAGGGGCTCAGGGCAGACTGGGAAGCTGAGACCCTAGGAAGTGGGCATGGTGGGCTTCAGAGACACAGGTACTGTGCGATGCATCAAAGGAAGACAGGGACCTGGGGCTCACCGTCCTGTCCTCCAGAGAGCAAAGGGAGACTAAAACACCAACAGGGATACCAGGCAGTTATCTGTCATGACCCTCTGCCTGAGCCCCGTCCTGCTAGCCAGGTCAGCACTCTGGGGCTCCCAGAGGACAGACAAGCAACTTCCTGAAGTTAGTTATAGAAGTGGACTTCAGTGGAGCTGGGATTTGAACCAGGGTCTGTTTGGCTCCAGGGGAGCATGGTGCCACCAAGCCACCAAGGCAGGAAGGAGCCATGAACTGGGCAGTGACACTGAGGGCCACTCTCCAGACAGCCTAGGGAAAACAGACCCTGCTCACTCTCGCAGGTTGTTCTGTGGCGATGGCTGGGCCCTCCCACAAGGGGACGTGTTCTATGACTCTTTCTACCCCCTTTCCGGAAGGCTCAGTAGGGAAGCACTGGCTGGGTAGCATGCTCTGGCTGCCAGCCCTAGGCCAGCCAGGCCCATCTCTGGCAGGGCAAGGCCCTCAGTGACTGGCAAACTCCTTCCTGCCTAGTGGACCTCTCCTCTGGCCTTTCTGGGTGTCCCCACAGTGGGAGGTCATTCTGGAGCATGGCACAGCTGACAGACCTGAGCAGTGGACAGATTTCAGTTCCTCGTGACTCCTGGAGAGCCACCTCTCTGGCCTGCACATCCCCTCAGCCCAGCAGGACTTTCTATGTGTGTGGTCAGTGAGGGGGACAGAGGCACAGGAACAGGCTGGGGCAGGAGGGACTTCCTCCACTCTCACTGCTCTCCCTCCCTTACCTCCAGGGCTGGCTGAGTACAGAGGATGTGAGATGATCAGCCTTCAGAGAAGGCCTTGGATTTGGGCATGGTGGGACGTGTTGGGGAAGGGGGACACCAATACCCCACAAGGCTAGAGCTGAGGCTGCCATATGGATGATACTTCTCAGTATGGCCGATGTGAATGGCAGGGGTATGGTGTCCTATTGGGACCAGGCCTTCCTCAGCAACAGGACAGAACATAAGTCAGGGCTGGGAGATGAAGATCTCCAACCATCCCCAGGGACAGAGAAATGGGGGGAGTGGGGGTGAAGGAAGCATCAGGAGCCCAGGAAATGGGGCATGGGTGGCAGCTTCAGTGTCCCCAGGGGTGTGGTTTGGCCAGATGATGCCATGGACAGCTATCAGGTGCAGGGAGGAGCACAGGGCAGCAAGGCGAGGGGAGAGGAGCTGCAGGGCTGGGCAGTTCTACCAGGTCACCAAATAGCTCAGAGGCAGACAGTCCAAGGACCACTACAAGGCCTTCCTCAAGGAGGAGCCAGGCCACCCACAGCAGGCAGAGGAAAGGAAGGAGCAGAACCCAGAAAGAATGAGCACCCGCAGTGGGGCTGCAGGGAGCCTCATTCTGCAGGAGCCAGGACAGCCCCCGTGGGGGCAAAGGCATGGCCCCTAGAGGCAGAATGCAGCCCTGTCGTGCCTTGGGTCCAGACATGTCTCTTGGCCACCCAGAAGAGAGAAGAGAACAGGCTTTGGAGCAGCCTGCCTGTCCTGCCACTGGTGGGCTCCTGCCTGGTGAGTTTGCTGCTGAGGCCATGGGCCCTCAGAAGGGAGTCCAAGAAGCCCCAGTCAGTGGCCTGTAGTGCCCCAGCAGAGGACATTGCTTGTCCCCGCATTCCCAGTACTGTGATGCCAGACACAGAGCCCTGAATTTGTGCCAGATGCTGCCCTAATATCACAACAGACATTAGCTCACTGTGTCCCCCTGACCCTCCATGGTGCTGACCAGGAGTCGACTTTGGAGCTGAGGACTGAGGCACAGAAAGGCAAAGTCCCTAGTGAACCCTGGCTGCCCCACAGCTCCGTTTTCAGATACTCCAGGGCCAGAGCTCCTGCTGGGGCCTCCCTGTGCCAGGGTACCAGGCTCCAGCCATGTGTGCTTTGAGGAGCAGCTCCTATGCCCCAGCTCATTCCTGCCACCCTGGCACTCCATTCCTGAACCAGATCCCAGCAGGGGGTGGGGCTGGAGCTGGAAGTTGCCAGGGAGTGTGAAGGTAGGCAACAGGTTGTTGGGCTGGATGTAGGGACTGCAGTAGGGCATCGCCTGGACAGAATATCCTACCTTAGCCCTAGGTGTGCCTGTTTGCCCCCATGCCCCCTTGGGGGGAGGTTCCTGGACCTGCACGTTCAGCCCACACCCAGCTTTGGAGACACCTAGGGCACCATGGCTGCCTGACTGCATGCATCTGCTTTGGAACCCCATGCCCCACCCCGGCTGGGCTGGCCTCTTACCATATCCATGGCCACCTTCATGGCCTCCTGCAGCCCAAAGAGCTTCCCGGCCACCAGATAGACCCCGCTGGTCCACACAGCACAGGCCTCATGCACCCAGTGCTCCTGGGTGTCCCCACCAGGCTCTGCAGGGGTCCCCTTGCTGCATTCATGCTTGCGGTTCTTGTCGGCTGGGGTCACCTCCTCACCCCCATCCCCCCGACCATCACAGCAGTAGCAACTCTGCAGCCGACGGGACAGGCCCCGGGCACTGGTGCGCAGTGAGCCCTGCTTGGCTGGGTCAGCTGGGCCATCAGGCCTGGGGGGCTTCCCGGTGGCAGGGGTGGCAGCTGAAGCAGCTGCACACTCGAGGCCTTTGAGTGTTCTCTCGAGGGGCGAGGTCTCTTCACAGGTGCTTTCCGGCCGCACCTTCTCCTTGAGTTTTGGCTTCTTTTTGGGGAGGCAGTGTTCAGGGTAGTAGGGGCCGCAGAGGTCTCCAAGGTCCTTAAAGTTGGCCGGGTTTTGGCAGAGGCAGCAAACAAGGCAAGAGGTACTAAGGGCCTTAGACACACAGGCCCCAGGTGCATGGTGGAGGAGAGGGGCAGGGAGGGTCTCGGCTGCAGGCTGGAGCTTCCCGGAAGCGTGGTCAAGGAGACCCCAGCTGGGTCCAAGGAGAGCAAGGAGGAGGAAGAGGAAGAGGATGAGGTGGAGGAGGAAGGCTTTCTGTGCGACTTGGGCTCATCTCCCGGGGAGTTGACAACAGTGCACACGGTGGTGAATGCATCTCGCTTCTCCACCCGTACAAAGGGAGAGAAGGCTGGGGTCCGGCTGTCTGCTCTCAGCCGCTTGCAAGAGGAAATGTACTTGAGGCGGATTTCAGGCTCTGCGGGATCCAGAGGCAGCACCTGCTGCTGCCTTCGCCGCTTGGCACGCCCCTTACAGGGTGAAGCGTTGGTGTTCTTGGCCCGGCCCCGGGTGAGGCGCTTCCGCTTGGAATAGCTGCTATAGTTGGTGTGGCCTGGCTGTTTCTGTGCCCTTGTCTGGGGTTGGCAGGGCCGTCCTTCTGGGAGCTGGGAGGCCAGGCCCAGCTCCTCTGTCTTTGGCTTCTTGCCTCCTCCTCCACCAGAGCTGTCCTCGCCATCCCCCTGTGTGTTGCTGGCCCTGTCTCGGGAAGTGAGCAGCAAAGCCGGGCCAAGATAGGGCCGCTTCTCCAGCGGGCCTTTAGAGAGTCCAAGGGCTACTGCCCTGCCTTTCTGCCTCCTCTTCTTCGGTGCCAGGGCCTCCGGGGACATGAAGGCCTCAGTTTTGAAACAGTCAGTGGAGGACAGTTTCTTACTGTTCATAAGTTTGCCTTTTAAGGATCTGTTGGCTGGGTTTCTGCATAACGGGTCTGCTCCTGAAGCTGCTGGGAGCTTCTGCCCAGTGCCCATGCTTACCAGACCCTCTTCTGCCCCAGCTGGACTGCCCCCAGCGCTCTTGAGCCCACCACGGTCCTTGTCCGGGAGGGCTGGGCTCAGAGGAGTCCCAGGAGGGACACCTGGCACTTTGCACACAAGCTTCTTGAGGCTGGGCGAGGTAATCTTCTGCACGATGGCCTCCAGTTTCAGGCCCCGGCCCTTCCGGGGAGGCAGCACCTTGGTCTTCATGGCACCCTGGAAGGCTGCCTGGGAGGCGAGCTTGATGCAGGTGTCAGGGGTCTCTGGGGGTAAGGGCTGCTTCATGGGGGACTCGCTGCTACCCTTGGGCTTGGCCTTTTTGGGTGAGGACATCCTCCTGAAGAGGTTGGGGGAGCCCTCAGCTCTCTCCTCCTTCCCATCCCCAGCACTGCCACTGGTGTTGCTGCTGCTGCTGCTACTTCGCAGGACCAGGTTCCGCTTCTTGGTGGGGACAGGTGCCATGAAGGCCGACTTCCTTTTCAGTGCGTGGAGGGGCCGATCTGAAAGCTTGCCCCCTGCGCTGGGCTTGGAGACTCTTGCACGCTGACTCACCCGACCTTCCTTCTGGGGGCTGCTGGAGACCTTGAACGTGGCGGACAGGTGGTTGTTGGCAAGGAGCTTTTTGGTGCTCTCTGAGGGCCGTCTCCGCTTGGTGTGGAAGACCTCCTGGGGTTTGGTGCGGGACCGGAGGATCATGGAGCGCTGGTCTTTGCCGGCTGTGCTGGGGGAGTCTGTCTCCTTGGTCTTGGAGCCCATGGGGCTGCTGTCTGAGGCCACAGGCAGGGCAGCCGGGTTGCTGGGGCTAGATGCAGCCTTTGGTGAGGGCTTCCCCACCCGTTTTCCAGACTTAAAGGCTGCTCGCTGCTTGCCCCCCAGTTTGTCAGGGGGTGCTGGGGTGGTAGTTAAGCCTGGGGGTCCAGGTGTGCGGGGCTCACTCAGGGCAGTGAGAGAGCGGGTACACATTCTGGGGAGCCCTTCTGAGGTCCCCCGGCCTGGGGCCCCGGCCCCTTCCATCTGTCCCTGTGAGGCCCTGTGCAGGACTCAGGGAGCAAGAGGTCTTTGGGAAGTGCCGGGGCCCGGCATGGGGAGTCCTCGGCCTCGGGCAGCCCCCTGTGCACCCGCCGGCTCCGTAAACTTTTGCCCCGGGGCACAGGCTCTTTCTTAGCAATAGGTGCCTCAGGCACAGCAGGCTTGTTTGGCTTCTGGGCCAGGGTGGTGTCTGAGGGGGCAGAATCCCCTGAAGCCCGTTCTCCATCAGGCCCATCTTCACCTGGCTTCATGTGGGACAGGGAGGACTCAAACCAGCTCTGGACCTTCGACTCGGCTCCCACAGTGGGGCCGAGCAAGATGACGGACTCCCCAGAGAGGTGGCACGGGGAGCCCCAGCCAGCCTTGGAGTCCAGTACCTCCTCCACCTCCTCCTTGGTGCAGATGAGGGGAGCCTTGGGTGAGAGCGGCTCCTGCAGGCCAGGCCTCTGCTCAGGGCTGCCCAGCAGCTCGCACAGGGAGGAGTACTCCTCGGCCTCCAGGTCCTCCTTCCTGCTGGGAGGTGGCAGCAGTGGTAGGTCCCCAAAGTCAGCTGCAGAGCAGCAGTGCCGGCTGTCCTCCAGCCAACGATCAGCTTTGCCCACCTCAGGGCACTGCAGCAGCCCACCCGCCTCTTCTTTCACCCCACCTGCCTCCTCCTGTTTGAAGTCCCCAGGCAGTGCAGCTGCCTTGTCCCCAGGTGGCTCCTCCTCCTGGAAGCCCAAGCAGGCTGAAGCCTCATGAGCATCCCCTTTGCCCACACTATCTGAGGCCTTCCCACCCTGCTCCAGGCCTTTGAGCTCGCCTGGGTGCAGTCCCCACCGGGGACAAGCATCTCCCAGGTTCTCCTCTGGCCAGGCAAAGGGGTTGGCACTGTCCACTGAGCTGGCTGTGGTCGTGTCCGGGAAGCAGTCAAACGCTGCCGTGGTGGGGTCTGGAGTGGCAGCCCCAAGGGTGGGCTTGGTACCAAAGGACAGGGCACCAGTTGTCTTCTTGGGGTCAGGGGTGGCAAAGGCCACGGAAGGGTCTTCAAACAGCCCCGGGCTGAAGTCCTTGGCATTGCCGCCCTTGTCCAGCTGCAAGGAATCAGGCAGGGCCTCCGGCTCCCCTGACCGTGGCCATGCTGTCTTGGCGACAGAGTCCAGGCAGGCGCTGTGGTTCTCCAGTGAGAAGGGTGGCTTGCTGGTGTCCTTGGGCAGGCCGGGCGCCTCGGCCCAAGCCTTGTCAGCCTTCTCACCAATGGCTTCTTGCAGTCCCAGGATCTCAGAGGCCAGGTCTTCCTGAGCCAGGGCACTGAGCAGCAGCCGTGGGCAATCCCGCTCACCTGCCACGAACTTGGAGAAGCTATCCAGAGGCAGAGTGCTGTGTAGGCTCTGGAAGGAGTCATCAGATTTAGTGGACATGTCATCAGGAGAGGTCACAGAACAGGTAGACACGGACTCGGGCTTGGCCTTGGAGTTGCTGTTGACTCTGGCGGGGCTGCTGCGGGCCTGGCTGCAGTAGAGAAAGCTGCGCTCCAGTGGATCCTCAGAGCCACTCAGGTAGTCGGCCTCTTGTGGCTCAGCGTGGGTGGACTGTGGCGTGCTGCTTGGTGGCTCAGATAACGGTGTGCCCGCTGGTTCGGCCGAGTAGCCACTGCCCTCAGGGCTGCAGTGCTGGCTCTTATGCTGCTCCGGAGTCCTGGACACAAGGTTCTTGACCCCTTTCTTCTGCGGCACAGCAGCCTTGGACAGTAGAAGCTGCTGCACAGTGTTGGAGATGTTCTCCACCTGCGAGGTCAGTGCCGTGAGGCTCTGCAGGCTGAGATCTGACAGCAGGTTCTCAGGGATCTTGTCCTTTTGCAAGGGCTTGCAGTTGCTGGCCTGGGTGTCCACAGAGCTGGCAGCATCTGTTGGGGAGGGGTTGAGCAAGGGCATGAAGTGGCTGTGGTCAGTGATGCCTGTGGGGAAGGCTCCAGTGCTAAGCGGCTGCTGGTTGTATGCAAAATTCTCCAGATTGGGCATCAGTGGAGATGGGGTGGAGCTGTAGGAAGGCGAGCGGCCCACGGAGCGCGCAGGGGAGTGGCTGGAGCTGGGGCTGAATGTCTGGTAGTACTGCTCTGGAGTCCTGACAGCTGCATCCGGCTGGCAGTAACCTTGACCTTGCTGCCCATAGTGTTGGTATTTGGCAAGGTTTTGGTAATGGAGGGTTTCCTGGGCATGGTGCCGGCTCTGAAGTGCTTGCTGCTGCTGCTGCTGCTGCTGCTGCTGCTGCTGTTGCTGTTCATAGCCAAGGCGGCCTGACTGGTAGGTATGAAGGTTCTGGACCCGCTGCCCTGGGGCCAAGCTGGCGTTGGCGGTCAGAGGCCTGTCATGGGGCTGGGCAGATGGTGCTGTGCAACTCTTGTAAGAGTGGGTCCCCTGCCCGCCACCTTGCACAGATGAAGAGTAGGTGGAGGAGGTGGGGAAGGACTGGGAATGCTGGGGAAAGTGGCTGCCCTGGGAAAAGGGCAGAGGTGAGGCGAGGTCATTCTGCAGTTTCTGCCTTTGGAGTTTGGGGTATGCCAGGGGCTGCTGGGGCTGTGGCAGCTGAGGCGGTGGCTGTGGCACATGCAGGGAGTGAGTCCGAAAGGGAAGCTGGGCACCCTGCTCTGGGTACTGCCTGTTTGGGGGTACTGCCGTCTTCTTCATCAAGTTCTCCTCATACTTGCCTACACCTCCTGGCAGGGGCTGAGGCTGGGGAGGTGGCGGTTGTGGGGCTCCCCAGGCCTGCAGGCCCTCCTCACCAGAGTAGCGTCCCGGGTAGGGGCTGCTGTCCTGGACACCACTGTAGCCGGGGAAAGCTGGCCTCCCCTGCAGGGCCTTGCTGCCTCGATGGTACTTGTCAGCCACCGCAGTCGCTGAGCCAGAGGGCGTACCAGTGCTGCCCTCATAGGCTGCGTAAGGCTGCGGGTTGTAATAGTCCTTGGCCAGCAGCCGCTGCCGGTCGCAGCTCAGGCTGGCCTGACTTTGCTGCCTGTAATTCTCCAGGCGTGATGTTTCCTGGGAGGTCTGTGGGTAGTTCTGTTGTTTGCCATGGAAACCACACCTTTCTCGAAAAGACTGCATGACTCGGGATGGTTATCTGTGAAAAGAAAAGGAGAAAGGGAGGGCGGGAGGGGGCAGAGGGAGAGCAGTTCAGATGGGCCATGTCCTGTCCTTTCTACTCAGCCAGCGTCCCTTCTGGATGCTTCCCCAGCCCGCACACGGCCTTCGATATTCTCCCCTGGCCAGAGCCCCCACCAGCTGTGCACATATTGACAACTTCTGGTCAGGGAGAGGTGTGCTCCCTAATTCCCACGTCCACAGCGCCTGCAGCTGAGCCTCGCCAAGGACGGCCACCAGCAGCATGGGAAGTGCAAAAATGGGCTGCCCAGAGTGGTCACCAGGGAGCAGCCACTCCACTGCCTCCCAACCAGCTCTTCCCCTCCACCCACCACCCACCACTCCCAGTCCTTGCAGACAGCTCAAAATCATTTAGCAGAGCAATTCCGGCTCCAGTCCCCTGGGGCCTGCTGGATCCTGTAATCTTAGTCCCTGCAGGGCAGTGCTTAAGCGTGACCCAGCCATGCTAGGGGACCCACTAAGATCTGCTCCCACCCCGCCCCGCCCAGGAGAGGCTGCTTGCCATACCTGCGTGACAGCACATACCCAGGCACACACATGTCCACACAGGCGCATCACACAAACATACACATGCACACACACCTCCCTGTCACTGCCACGCCATCTGGACTCGTCTGTTCCTGCTAGCAGACGTTGACTGGGGGGCTGCAGAGCCACTGTAGACAGAAAGCATCCCCTCCTCTGACTCTCAAGAAGGCAGGACGGCAGCACCTGCCTCCTGTTTTTGATATCATAGGTGCATAAACAGATTACGTGGCCCAGAGCGTGGAAGTGCATACTAATGGGGGACAGAGATGCAGTCCCACAGCCACAGGAGAGCATTCTGGCCCAGGCCCCTCCCACACGGCGTGAGGCAGCCCTGTCCTCCTGGCAGGACCCCTCCCAGGCTCCCCAGGTCAGGGCCGAGGCAGACAGTACTGAGAGCCCATCTGGTTATGATTTTAGGGGCTGGGGCCCAGGCATGGTCAAAGCTGCCCCAGAGCTGGATCCTGGGAACTGACCCAGGACCAGGCAGGGGCTATTCAGGGAAGGGTGGCTGGGGTCTCAACACAGGTCAGATCTAGGCACCTGGGCTAAGGCTTTCCCCAGCTGGCTAGCTAATCTGCTCACACCAGAAAACTCAAAGGGCTGGTGCCGGTGGCTCATGCCTGTAATCCTAGCTACTCAAGAGAGGCAGAGATCAGGAGGATCGCAGTTTGAAGCCAGCCAGGGCAAACAGTTCACAAGACCCTGTCTCAAAAAATTGGGCTGGTGGAGTGGCTCAAGGTGAAGGCCCTGACTTCAAGCTCTAGTACCACAAAAAAAAAAAAAAAAAAAAGAAAAGAAAACTCT